CTCTTGGATGCTCATCATCATCATCATCATTCCAGCATCCTCATTGTCTGAATCCAACGACGCGATGAACTTGTTGAATATGAATTCGTCAAGATCATCGTTTCCATAGCCATCATTCCACGCCGAATCCATTAGAGACCTAGAAATAATGGCCCAAAGGATCAAAAACCGGCTCGGACATTTCACCGAACACGTAGAGTGCAGGGTGAAAATATGGGAGAGTTTGACGTACCGGGGTGCTGTCCGGTGGCGGCCTGGTCGGCGGCGGTGTGCGTTGGGGCGTCCGATGGCAAAGCCCTGAGTTGGAGTAGGCAACGGAGGATTGATACCTGCAGAAGTCTGATGGCGGCAGTGCGCAGAAGGGTGAACAAAGAAAAAAAAAGTAACGCTCGAGCAAGGAGAGGGGAGCCGGATATGATCAAATTGGCACGGGCCCCAACGGCCAGTCCTACGTGACGGACGCGTCCATGCGTCCCGTAGCCGTCCCAGATATGAGCCGGATATAAGAAGGTTGTTCCATAGCCGCCCCAGATATGAGCCGGGTATGAAAAGGCCATCCCATAGCCGCCCAAGATACGGGCCGGTTGGATGACATTTTTTCATTCCGAGACTGATCATGTTTGGAACGGGTCTGGCGTCCGGTTGTAGATGTTGTTTGCTGGGTGCAGAAAGCCTGGAAGGGAAGAGAAAAAGGGCCGGCCAGATACTCCTTTCGCCACAGTTTTCGCCAGGAATGGACGCAGCACCGTGCGAGCGTTCCGAAAGAAACTTTGGTGCGTCGACGAGAGGTAGGCAAAAACCCATTGCCTCTCTCGACGAGGTAGGTATGCCGGTCTTGCGGTGCTGCCGAACTGATGACACTCCCTTTTTCCAGATCCAGCTGCCAGTGCAGACCAATCTGTAAACGCAACCGAGGATGGCTGCTAAACTAATAAAAGCATCTCTTCATGCTTTCAGCGTGGACCCTCGCTACGCTAACAGAGACATTAACAAACCACATGGCACTGTTGTACTAGTACCATACTGCTGCGAACGCTCGTAAATGATTGGCAGAAGAATGAAAAAATACTCCAAATTTCTGCCGGTATACATACACTGCAGTAGTACTTTGGTATGGGTTTGCTGATGAATTTTCTGCTCTAATAGATGAATTATCAGCTACTTTCCGTCTGGGTTTATTTGACCCCGTTTTATTTGGGTCAAAGCTTGGTCATAAATTTAACTAGTAAAATATAAACTACATGACCTAAAAATAATGTTGTGCAAAACTTGTTTTGAATACAAATCCAATAGTGTATCTTTTGTGATATATACCTCATATTTTGTTGTTGTCATAGATAGTCAAATTTTGATATTATATAGTTAGAAATTCTCATGTATGTTTGCATGTTGTCGTGAGCCTTTTCCTGCACATGTTGCATGCTTGTATGTTGAGAGAATTGGATTAATGCAGCTATCTATTTAGATATTTAAGATACATATGTTGCAGAGTATTCTGTCTGAGTGTGTAAACAGGGGTTCATATTTTTACTTTTTTCTTGGAAATTGAGGCACATCAACTGATAGAGGACTATTTATGATCGTAACTCTATAGCCGACACATGAAACATAAGGACCCCCCTAACTAGCATGCGAGTCCAGGCTAATACATGCTTCTTTTTTGAAAGGGTACAGTAAGTAGCACATATACAACCACACCGCAGCAGTTTTGTGGTTTTCTAAAGCACATTACATACGCAAATGCTCGTATATACACGCATACACTCATTGATATGGACGCACACGTGCACACCCGACCCTCATCATAGGCACGTCGTAGTCGACGGAAACATCTTCTCCCATTGAACGCGCATTGCCAGGACTTGAACCTTGGTAGGCTGGGGTTACCACTATCCTCCAAACCATCCAACCATAAGTTGGTTAGCAACAGTTTTGTGGGTTGTAATCTCAAAAGAGAAATGTATATTTTGCACTAGCGAAGTTTATCGTTTCTACGCCTAGGCGCAACAACAATGTTATGAAAAAATATACGGTGAAAACCAAGTAAAATCCATGCTTGAAATGTTTAAAAGACACTTTAAAACATTGTGTCACATGCTTCGGATGTTTTACAAATATGTAAGGTTTCAAATTCAAATTTAATTTCACTTAGGAGCTAAAAAATCATCATCAAACCCAACAATTTTACATGTTTCACATTTGAGGGTTGCTGAATTTTGTTTTTTCATAACTCAAACACGAACTCGCGAAGTTGAATTTGAAACTGAAATCTTCTTTTAGGGGATTTGAAACTGAAATCTAACAGGGCTTTAGAACGTCTCATCTCCAATAACTTCATTTTTAGATTTTTTGAAACACGACTATCACTTGGTTTTCACCGGATACTTTCTCCGATGTTTTGCCGTACTCTAGGGGGAACTATACTCTTTTTACATTTCAGATATTATTAACACGTGATGGACAAGACTTCAACCCAACAAGATAAGGTCGTATTTTCTCGCAAAAAAAAAAAACAAAACAAGATAAGGTCGTCTTGCCTCTCCCATTGGCTGGCTCCAGTTAGGCGTCTTTTACTATCAGCACTGCTAGTAGTATATCCAGTGAGCATGGCCCACGTCGTTTTCATTGTTGTTGAGAACGCAAAAGGGATCAGAGGTGCCTGCTTACCTAGGCACAAACTTTTTCTGAAAATGACCTACTTAGGTACAATCACCAAGAAAGAAATATCGGCCGAGCATCCCTTGAGGGCAGGGCAATACGGCATGACACCTTTGGGAGAAAGGAATATTTCCTGCAATTGCGGAGTAAAAATGTAAATGTAAACACCTGATCCAACTATCTTAATTTCTCTAATCTCTATGTATTTTAAACATAATTAATCACATACACGAATAATGTGCACGACACTAAATCTATATAATCGCACGCACACACTATATCGCTAGGAATGCACACACTATATCGCTAGGAATGCACGTGCGCGTGCAAATTTATGAACGCACAGACGTATACCTTATCCATATGCACACACACACATGCAAACTCGATTTCTATGAACACCTTCAAAAGACTTAAGTCAACACGTCATAGTACTGAAAATAAAAGACAGCGTAGAAAAGTCTGAAACAAATCCAAAAAAATATGCAAACACCTGTGTCAAGTCTAACACTTCAAACCTGATGGGTTGATTTTACCATAAGAAATCTGACCCTAAGCTATGCTTAGTTCGGCATATGTAGCTTGTGTGAAAAGACAAAAGGATATTTTGTGAAAAGATTTTTTAACACCGAATTTTGTCTTTTTCACACACGACACACAAGTTGTTAGTTTTTCGCCGAACGACTTTGTGAGCATGTACAATATCAAGATGTATGCGCCAAGTTTTTGTTTGAATTATTTTGACATTTCAAAATAGGTTTAAAACATATTTTTAAAAACAAAATTGCGTGCTCCCATGTGCCAAAACGCCACTCTCTTGGATCAGGCCTATATTACTACACTAATAAATAATAATTCCTGATTTTATTTAAGTAAGAATATTTTTCCTGCGATTACTCTATGCAGCTACATAACTACAATGTTGTCTCACTTTTGAAAACAGAATTTGAGTGACATCAAACATTGTGTATTGATTTGATTAAAAAAAATTGCAACATTTATTTGTATTTTATACTATGTGAATCTCACCTGTTTTACGATTGAGACGTGCGTTGCACGTGCATACTTACTAGTATCGCTAGGAATGCACACACTATATCGCTAGGAATGCACGTGCGCGTGCAAATTTATGAACGCACAGACGTATACCTTATCCATATGCACACACACACATGCAAACTCGATTTCTATGAACACCTTCAAAAGACTTAAGTCAACACGTCATAGTACTGAAAATAAAAGACAGCGTAGAAAAGTCTGAAACAAATCCAAAAAAATATGCAAACACCTGTGTCAAGTCTAACACTTCAAACCTGATGGGTTGATTTTACCATAAGAAATCTGACCCTAAGCTATGCTTAGTTCGGCATATGTAGAAAGAAGCGTCGTCACCTAGTAAATCTAAGTATAAGTATATGGTACTAAACTACTCCGCATGTTCCTAAATATAAGTCCTTTAGATATTCCATACAAACTACATGCAAAGCAAAACGAGTGAATGTACACTCTAAAACATGTCTATATACATCCGTATGTAATCCTAAGAAAATCTCTAAAAAGACTTATATTCAAAAACGGAGGGAGTCCAAATTACTCGTCTCAGAAATGGATGTATCTAGAACTAAAATACATCTAGATACATCCATACCCGCGACAAGTAATTTGGAACGGAGGGAGTAATACTTAACGTCTTATATTATGGGACGAAGAGGTGTGATTTTATACAACAATAGCGATTTTTAAAGTTTTATTAGTGAATTTTTATATTCATTTCTATGACGAGTAATTCAAAACGGAGAAAGTATCTTAATCCTCATGGTTAAAAACAACGATTAGCCCTTAATATACTTTTGAAACCAACGAAGCTTTGTGGAGCAAACGAAATCAACGCAGCCCGATTGACTTGATTAACGTGTCAACATTACCGCGCCACCATTGATAAGTACTTTCGCCGAAACAAAACAAATTAGGTTAACACGAGCAGATAAGCATCAAGCCAGCAGCCAGAAATGCATGGAGACAAAAACAATTTACTACTTCTACTGACGACCAAGAGAAAACTCCGGGTGCACGTATGACAATTTACTACACTTCCGGCAGCTCGCCAGTTTAGCCGCACTCTCGCTGACCGCCGGGCCCACCGAATCCGCCCCCCAATCACCGATCCCCTGTTCCGCTAAGCCCACCCGGGCACGCCCACGCCCGCCCCCACGTACGTGCACGCGCCCACAAAGACCACCCGACCACCACCACCTCCCCCCTCCCTCCGGTCGCCTCCGGCCTTGCCTCGCCCCCTCGCCCCTGCCCCCGCCGCCTGCCCCGGCAGCCCGTCCCTGGCCCCCATGGCGGCCGCGGAGGTGTACTCGCCGACCGCGGCGGCGGCGGCGCAGCACCAGCAGCGCGGGAAGGCGGCGACGCAGGCGTGGCAGGCGGTCGTCGGCTGGATCGGCTTCCTCCTCCAGGTCCTGCTCCAGATCCTCCGCGGCACGCCCTCCTGCGCCCAGCTCCTCTCCTTCGTCGGCTTCCGCTACCCGCTCCTCTCCTCCGCCTCGGCCGCCCCCGACCAGCCGTCGCCGGAGGTGGCCTTCATGCCGCTCCGCTCCGAGATCCCGGCCGACGCCGCCCCCGTCCCGGCGCCCCCGTCTGAGCCCCTCCAGCGCCTCACGGTACGGGAAGATTCGGTTTTTCATTGGGTTCCTTGGAGCTATTTGCTGTTCCGGTCAGGGAGCAATAGATACTTTGGAAGGGGATGGATTCCATTTCGATAGGAAGTGGATGCAGGAGGAGTGTCTCCATCCAATTGCCGTCCATTTCTGTCTTCGGGCTGGTGAATTTGGGATTAGGCGGAGGGGTTGGTTTGAGCTAATTGGGTGTTCTTCCTGGTTAATTCAGTTAGCTTTGATTGATAGTGTGTTTTATTTGCTGCTGAATTAGTATATTTGCTATAAAGCAGGCCATTTCGGGTTGTTGGGTGGTAAAAAATCGTCTTCTCTGATTACGAGCACCTAGAGTCACTTGTGTTGCAAATCCAAAACAAAAGCTTAGTTGATGTTAGTAGCCACTTCAATCCCAAAACAAGGGCTTATTGATTTATTAGCCAACAACTGCGTTAATCTCATCTCTAGACAAGGGCTGGTTTAGAGAATTTACAGGATCCCGGTGTTGCTACCTTTACTGGATCAAATACCCCCTCCGTCCAGAAATACTTGTCCTAGAAATGAATGTATTTAGACTTATTTTAGTTATAGATACATCCATTTTATCCATTTCTAGGACAAGTATTTCCGGACGGAGGGAGTACTTAATTAGGCAATATATTGTTTCTGGTCACTGATCTTGTACTAGTCAATTTGCGAGAGACCATTTCTGGGAAACTTCTTGTCGCTGCTGTTGAGAAGATATCTGAGCCTGCCCCTCAATACTGGCAGCGTGATTGGATATGAATTATGATATTACGCATTTGGTCATGATAGATGAATCGGCATGTGTGCTGTTTTACTGGCACATACACTCATAACAGTGTTTCTTATAAGCATACTGTATTTAGTATGATGAGCTTATGGCTTCCCACAAAATAGAATCAACTGAATTAATATTTGTGTTAAAACTAAATCCAAGCCACATTTAGTGTGAAGTCAGCTTTAACGATTCTGCTATAAACTCATTCATTATCTCTGAACAAATATGGACTACCTTTTCAGGTAGTGCTTGACCTGGACGAGACTTTAGTTTCTGCGTACGAATCATCTGGTCTTCCTCCTATTGTACGCACCCAAGCTGTTGAAGCTGGATTACATTGCTTTGACATGGAGTGCATATCAACTGATAAGGTACCAAACTTCTGCTCTTGCTACTTTATTGTGTTATCCTTTTAATCATTACTGATAAAGGAATATTTTCTTGTGTGAGCTGTAAAGGATGTTGAAGGGAAACAAAAGGTGAATCATGTTACTGTTTTTGAACGTCCTGGTCTGCATGAGTTCTTGCAGAAAACTAGTGAGTTCGCAGATCTTATCCTCTTTACAGCGGGTTTAGAAGGTATGGTGGCTGCTAATATTTTATTCATCTCTCTCTCTCTCGTCACATGATCCCAATCAGCTTCCTCACCATACCTGTCCAAATTTCTCCTCAGGTTATGCAAGACCTTTAGTGGACATAATAGATGCTCATAATAGGTTCAAACTCCGTCTCTATCGTCCATCAACTGTTACTACGTAAGTGTTACAGAAACTTCCCCATAGGGATAGGATACAAGTGATTTTGTAACGTCGTGCTGCTGCTGCTGCGTCTTGATGATAGCCATCATTACTTTGCTTTCTGTCATGTGTACACAACTAATCAGTTGAATGTTACATGCAAACCAGCAGTTCTTTAGGTGGAAAAGCACATGTAGTTTATTTATAATTTGTATGAGTTCAATACTAGAGATTGGTCGTTTCCCATCAATTTGAGTGACAAACTGACAATATTAACACAATCCTTTCTTTTAAGGCATGCCATGCACTGAATGTACCATACAGTGGGTGATTACCTGAAAAGATTAGATTGAAGATGGTAATCTGCAGTGTTTGAGTAGTGTAAGGATTAGAGCGACGATGATATCTACAGTCTGCAATGTTGGGGGGGCATGACCCTGGATATCTGCGGTGCAATGCCAGCCATGAAGGGTGCCACACTGCAAAGGCAGGGTGGCCAGAATATAAGGGATTTATTGTCTCTTCTTCATGGTCCATCCATACCCTTCGTCATGCCTTATAGCGCCAATTTTAGAAAAAGAAGGAAGCAGCTCATCAATTCTGCTTGCATACAAGGCATGTCCCTGTGCTAGTCTTTAGTAATGAATCGATGGTGCTTTCTTCGGCTCTGCATGCATGTTTTTGCATGTAATACTTTGTTTGGAGTAGGACTGGCTGATAGTGCATATAATACTTGTTTGCCAATAACCTAACACAATACAGTAGCGGGCCAGTTCATTTTCTGATATCAGTGGGCGTGTACAATTTCAGGGAATACAGAGAGCATGTGAAAGATCTTTCGTGCCTGTCAAAAGATTTCAGTAGAATCGTCATTGTCGACAACAATCCGTTCAGCTTCATAGTGCAGCCTTTGAATGGAATACCTTGTGTTCCATTTTCAGCTGGACAACACTCAGACGATCAAGTAACTGATAATGGACACCCGTCATTCAATGGTTCCGGTCCACTAATTTGTACATGTTCATTGATATTCCTTTTTGTACTGTTTTTCAGCTGATGGAGGTTATCTTCCCGCTCCTGAAGCATCTCTCTGTCCAGAGAGATGTGAGGCCAGCCCTGTACGAAAGGTTTCATATGCCAGAATGGTTCCAAAAGCATGGGATCCCTCGAACTGATCAGGCTCTCTAAGACTTGTTTAGGTGGAGAAGAATCAAGTGCCTGCCACGCCATATGTCCCTTAGGGGGAGAGCACTTGTACATTATTATTTATATTCATTTTTAGATTCTCTTCCCTGATATAAGATCATGTCATTGTTCATACAGAATTGCCATGTCTGGAGGTAAAAGGAAATGTAATCTAGCAGAATGTCACATTTGTATTGGTGTCAACATCAATTGTTGTATATCACCTTTGTTGTAAATTTGCTTGTTGATAGCTCATTTAATCTAATGCACAGTTCAAGGTCTATAGCTATGATGTCAAGAGGCTACATCAACTGACATTTAATCAAGGTTTCAGTCAGAAATTATGTTTGTGGAAATTCGCAAACAAACAAACAAATTTGTTCAGGGAATTTTACCAGCATTTTTGCCAAAATCATGTGTTTATAAATCTAACCATCTGATATTTACATAGGCCTAAGACCAATAAGCATATAATTAAATCACTAAGGAATCACACAAGACTGGATTTTTAAGCTTGCTGACATTCAAATTTTGTCAGAGTCTCTTTAGCCTGAACTCTGGACATGAGAGGAGGCACTGAAGCTTCTTCCTTATCTGAGTTTCTGGGCGCGGAAATCGCTGGAGCTTCGTATCTGGCTGATAATCTGTGCGGCCTCGTCAAATCTGTATGCTCTCTCGTACACGCCGGCGGACACGAGATAGAGCTCCCTCTTGTCGATGCTGGGGTCATGGCTAAGCTCGCCGACCAGCCGCTCCAGCGCCTCGAAGTCCTGCTGAGCGCCCAGCAAGCTGAGCATCTGGAAGTGCACCCTGTCCGAGAACACGCAGCCTTCCTCCCTCAGCGCCCGGTACAGCCCCGCGGCCTTGTCGAACTCCTTGAGCTTGCCATAGGCGTTCATGGTGACGGCGATCGTCTCCGAGTCCGGCAGGTGGCCCAGCCTCCTCATCTCGTCGAGCACCTCCACCACGCTCCGGTGCCGCCTGTTCTTGGCGAACAGCGCCATCATCGCCCGGTGCACCGACGGGTCCTTGACCTCGCCGGTGTGGACCGCGCGGCGGAACAGCCACGCGGCCTCCTCCACCCGCCCGGCGCTGGCCAGGATCTTCATGGCCGTCTCCTTGGGGATGGCCTGGTCCGGGTCTCTAAGCTCGCGCAGCAGCCGCTTGGACTGTGACACGAGCCCCGCGCGCTCGTACGCGACCACCATCGTCTGGTACAGCACCGGGTCCATCTCCGTGCCGGACTCCCGCAGCTTGTCGAAGAGCTTGGCGGCGCGGTCCAGCTTCCCGGCCTTCACCCAGATGGAGAGGACGGTGGAGTAGGTGACGGCGTTGGGCTGGATGCCGCCGGCCTGCATTTGCTGCACCAGGCTCCCGGCCTTGTCGTCCTCCAGTGCCTTGCCGTGGATGGCAATCATGGTGTTGTACGTCACCACGTTGGGCCTGACGGCGGCGCCGTTGCTGGCGCCGTCGGAGGCGGTGCTGCACATGAGGCCGAAGAGGTGGACCGCCTCCCCGAACAGCCCGGCGTCGCCGTACACGCGGAGCATGGTGTTGTACGTGACGACGCTCGGCGGCACCCCGGCGCGGCGCATGGACCAGAAGAGCCGGTCGGCGTCGCGCGCGAGGTCCAGCTGCCCGTACGCGTTGAGCACGATGTTGAAGACGGAGAGGTCGGGCTTGACGCGCGCCACGGCGCGCATGTGCGAGAAGAGCGAGACCGCCGCGAGGTGCCGGCCGCGGCGCGCGAGCGCGGCGAGGACCGGGGCGTAGGACTCGGCGTCGGGGGCCACGCCGTCGGCGGGGACGTCGTGGAGCAGCAGGCGCTTGGCGTCGCGTAGCAGGTCGGACTTGCAGTAGGCGGCGATGGCGGCGTTGTAGGCCTTGAGGTCGGGCCTGATCCCCGCGGCGCGGAGGCGGGAGAAGAGCGCGAGCGCCTTGGGCGCGTCGCCGGCGCGGAGGGCGAGGTGGATGAGGTTGGAGAAGAGCACCAGGTCGGGCGCCACGGCGTCGGCCTCCATGAGCGGGAGGAAGGTGAGCGCGTGGTCGAGGTGGCCCGCGCGGGTGAGCGCCGCGAGGAGCGTGGAGTAGGAGAAGCCGTCGGCCGCGACGCCCCTGGCGCGCATCTCGAGGAGGAGGCCCGACGCGAGGCGGAGCTGGCCGGCGCGGCAGGCGGCGCGGAGCAGGAGGTTGTAGGGGACGAGGAGCGCCGACGAGGAGAGGTCGGGCGCGAGGAGGTCGAGCAGGGCGACGCCGCGCCGCGGGTCCGGGAGGCGGGAGAGGAGCGTGCAGAGGAGGCGCGGGGAGACGGGTCGGTGCGGCGAGAGCGCGGCGGCCAGGTCGGGGGCCGCGCGCGCGGCGGAGAGCGCCGCCACGAGGGCGGCGACGTCGGGGGCGTGGTCCTGGCGCTGGAGCTCCGCGGATTTGTGGCGGTGGAGGGGATGCGAGCTCGGGAGGTTGGGGTTTAGCCAGATGGACTTGGCGCCTGCGGCGGGGCCGCGGCGGTGGGGCGACGGGGAAGGGAGGGCGGCGGCCGCTGCTGCCGTCGGCGGCATTGGTCTTGGGGTGCGGGAGTGGCGCGGCAGCCGGGAAACGGATAGGAGATTTTTTGGCGTTGGCAGGGACGTTTGCGAGACGTATCGGGCTGGATTGGGACACCCGTCGGAGCAAAATGCCGCGTCGGAGCGAAGTGGCAGCATTCAGATTTCAGAACTTGTGATGGAGCGACAGGGTTGCGGCTTGACAATCGAGAGTTCACAGCCAAAATAGAGCCAGCAGCACTTAAACGTTCATATATTTTGGGTCAGCACGGTACATATATTTTGGGTCATTTAAGGCCATGTTTACAACGCCCTCGAACTGATCTGCACGTCTAAATTCTCGCAAACCAAAAACAAAATTGAGGGAGGTTTGTGGCCTTCTGAACAGCCGTCACGTAGGCGTTCCACGCCC